ATAGATGACCTTGCTACTATGGCTTAGACTCAGAAAGCTCTGGATTCTTCCGTACTAGCTATGATACATTTTCAGACGTTTTGGTACAATAAGAAAACTGCAGATTCTTCCCTGAATTGGAATAAGGCAATTTAAGCAACAGTACCACATGCTTGACAGAGTAAATGCAAGCCTCTCAAAGCCTTCTACACTCCAAACACTAGGTTTTCACGACTCTGCTCTGGAGCCATCCTTCGTCTTTTACCCCCACCGTCAGTGCATGTGAAGATGATGTAATTCCTGACCATTAGAAGGTATTTGAAGAGGGTCCTTTCTCCGAATTGTGTTTAGGGCACAGAAAAAACTGATGGGATATTTTTTGGCTGGCATTTATAAGAAGTCGTCATAACAGGGCGAAATTCAACAGGACCAAAGGAGGTCAGGCCTGCTGAATTCGTTCCACAAGATCACTTCTACTCGTCATTTTGTGCGTGTCAGCCTTCCATTAGAGCAAGTCGGATTGGTCTCACAGAAACACAAAGATGGCACATTCATTCGACTCGTTGAAATCGTACTTGGCCGGATCTTGCTTTCAATCCTTTTACTGTTTGGCAAACACTTCCTAAAAGTAGATGCGCCCTTACCAACCTTAAAACGACTCTCCAGACAAGTAGACCCGCATCCAACCCAACTGCTGTCCGCGTGTCTCTGCACTGCTATTCACACGCTTGCGTCAGGCAGAGTAGACAAAAGATGTAATAATAAAAGACACTAACATACTATAATACGATATAACATAATAATATAATAGAAAAATACTAAACGAAATGCTTTGTTCCGCGTAGTCTACCATTGTCCTTGCCTCTTCTTCCCAGCGTTCTCTTGCAAAGCGCTATTTACGCGACGCCTCCCCGACGGGTACAGAAGTCTTGTCGAGTACGTGGGTCATGCTTTTTTGTCGCGAAAGTGTAGCTGGAATGGGTAGTCTGTCGACTCGAGTATCATACCCAATCGGCTATCTTCGTAAAAGAGCAACATTTCTTTTCGACATTGTGCCTCCTCTTGTTCAACCAACTGCCTCTCTATCCCGTGTCTTCCCGCTCACTGCTTCTTTTCATGTCATTTGGGACGGAATGAAGCCACTCAACCTTTTTGGCGTTAGTAATACATTTTTTAAGTGGCCATCAGCAGCCTGGTTCCGACTGGCTTTCGTATTCCAGTGACTCCAGTGGCTTTGTTCACGATAAAGTCAAACAAAGCTACGCTTTTGCACTGAATTTCACCTCGTCCCGCATCTCACTTGGCCATTCTCACTCAGACTCAACCTTTTTCTCAACCTCGTCTCATCCACTCATCGTTTCATCAACAACCGTTGGCCACACGAACCTGGTCAAATTGTGTACATCAAAAGCATCACCTTTCAGGCGACGACAGCCATTTGCTGATCTGATCGGCTTAGGACCCGCAAATACACGATCCGAGTCCGGAGATGGTAATAGGATGAGGCAAAGTGGCGACTGGCGAAGAGCATGACTAAGGCTAGTCCTTTGTGATACAACATATAATCTGTTTTAATAGAAAAAATTAAGCATGTTCTTCAAATACTCATGGATGGACTCGTCAAGAATTTAGACAAAAACTAGCCGAATCTGGTTCTACCCTATTCATCAGACTCATTAGTCTTCATACTACTTTTCTGTCGATGAACAGTGATATGACGTTGATTGGCTTACTTATGACTATTGCTACTCCAATTCCCTCTCCCATCACCACTTCCACTACTACTACCACATCACCACTGCTGCTACACACAGCATTATTAGTACTTCTTCTATCTAAAGGACACCACCATTATCACAGCTACAGCAGCAGCAACAACTACTACTAGTATTAATTTAATTTATGTTTGTCATCCCGGCGCCCTCGCTTTACTTGCTACCCAAATTGTTTATCCTTCAGTTTTGCAGCGACGATTACATCTATCCTTTTGTCCATTCTGCGAGCATTTAATCTACTCTGATTTGTCTCTTATCCCTACACGGCTTTCTCGAATTTTTA